GATCCGGCGGCCCCGATCCCGCCCCCTTCTTGCTGGTGAGGAGGCTGAAAGGGCTGATCGTCGCCACGGGGGAACCCAGAGATCCAACGCATTGAAGAAATCAAGACGGAGGTTTTTCTCAACTTTCGGCCTCCCTTGCCAGGCCCCGGGACCGTAACAAAAACGGATCAGGATGAAGAATTGGTCCTGGCGAATGGGTCGAGGCTTCTGGGGACCCCGTATTGAACAAATCACGACATCGGATCTCTCGGAATCGGTTCCTGAAACGGGTCCTGAGGGTTTGTCGCCGATTTCGGGCCCAAGGTGCGCAATTTTTGGCTCCGGGGCTGTGGTCAGCACACGCCTCTCCCCGCGGGAAGGGCCCCGAGGTCCAGCACCCGTTTCCCTCCAGACCCGTTTCCCCCGTCTTGGCATCGCTCGGACGTGTGCATTTTTCTCTCGGCGAGGGCCCTCGAGGAGCATCCTTGATCATTTGACCCCCCCCAAAAAAGCACGCACGAAACCGACAAAAAACACAGAGATTGGACGTCCGAGCGATGGCCAGTGTTAAGATCGGGCGTTGCATGATGGCGGGGGCGATCAAATGGGGGGGGGGGAAAGAAAGGTGCATCTCTGAAGGTGCACCTCCTGCGCCGTAGAGGAGCCCTCAATGAGCCCTTTTGGGCCAGGACGGGGCGCGAAAGTTGCACGCCCCCGCGGAGCAGCGCCCCGAAGCGGAGGGGATGGGGGCACAGAGGAGGCCGACGGACTCACCCCGACCAGATCCCCTCGCGTCGTGAAAGAAATGCGATGGAAGTTGATGTTGATATCTCCCAACCATCCTGTGGTGTTGGGTCCTCGTTTTGAAGAGACGTCGCCCCGCGTTCCTTCTCCTCCCTCCTCCTCTCCTCCCCCTCCTCCCCCCCCCCCTCCTCCCCCCTCCCGTCACTCCTCCCTCCTCCCTGCGTTTCACCCACCCAGTACAGCGTTTCGTGGCCCCATAGGGAGCTCCACCGACGCCGCCAGTGGCAGCGTTCGCATGGTGGCCCCGCCCCATTTTGGCGCACCTCTCACACGGTTCGTGGCCCCATATGGAGCTCCACCGAAGGCTCCAGTGGCAGCGTTCGCATGGCGGCCCCGGGCCATTTCGGCACACCCCTCACGAGGATCGTGGCCCAATAGGGAGCTCCAACGAAGACCCCAGCCCCATTTTGGCGCACCCCTCACACGGTTCGTGGCCCCATAGGGAGCTCCGCCAAAGGCCCCAGTGGCAGCGTTCGCATGGCGGCCCCGCCCCATTTCGGCACACCCCTCACGAGGATCGTGGCCCCATGGGGAGCTCCACCGAAGGCCTCAGTGGCAGAGTTCGCATGGCGGCCCCGCCCCATTTTGGCGCACCCCTCACACGGTTCGTGGCCCCATAGGGAGCTCCACCAAAGGCCCCAGTGGCAGCGTTCGCATGGCGGCCCCGCCCCATTTTGGCGCACCCCTCACGCGGTTCGTGACCCCCATAGGGAGCTCCACCGAAGGCCCCAGTGGCAGCGTTCGCATGGCGGCCCGGGGCCATTTCGGCACACCTCTCACGAGGATCGTGGCCCCATAGGGAGCTCCGACGGAGGCTCCAGTGGCAGCGTTCGCATGGCGGCCCCGGGCCATTTCGGCACACCCTTCACGAGGATCGTAGCCCCATAGGGAGCTCCACCGAAGGCCCCAGTGGCAGCGTTCGCATGGCGGCCCCGGGTCATTTCGGCACACCCGTCACGAGGATCGTGGCCCATAGGGAGCTCCACCGAAGGCCCCAGTGGCAGCGTTCGCATGGCGGCCCCGGGTCATTTCGGCACACTCCTCATGAGGATCGTGGCCCCGTAGGGGCTCCACCGAAGGCCCCAGTGGCAGCGTTCGCATGGCGGCCCTGGGCCATTTCGGCACACCCCTCACGAGGATCGTGGCCTCATGGGGAGCTCCACCGAAGGCCCCAGTGGCAGCGTTCGCATGGCGGCCCCGGGTCATTTCGGCACACCCGTCACGAGGATCGTGGCCCATAGGGAGCTCCACCGAAGGCCCCAGTGGCAGCGTTCGCATGGCGGCCCCGGGTCATTTCGGCACACTCCTCATGAGGATCGTGGCCCCGTAGGGGCTCCACCGAAGGCCCCAGTGGCAGCGTTCGCATGGCGGCCCTGGGCCATTTCGGCACACCCCTCACGAGGATCGTGGCCCCATAGGAGCTCCACCGAAGGCCCCAGTGGCAGCCTCCCTCATGGCTCTCAGAGCCCTCTCCTGCTTCTGCTCCTCGGTCAGGGGAACCGTCCTCGTCGTCGTCGGCGCCCGCGAAGACGGCCACGAACGCGTCCCTGAGCATGTCGGGCTCCGGCGGGAAGTTGTGGCCACATCGGGAGCGCGGGCGAAGATGTTATTCACATTTGCGGTAGTCACAACTGCGCATTGTTGGGTCTCTCGCCAGGCTGATTTCTGCCTTCCCTCGCACACTTGTTGCTACTATGTTATGCCTCCCCTCGCGAAGTTAATGTTGCTATGCTCTGCCTTCCATCGCGTCGTCAAACAAAGGAACGAGACGCAACTTGTTCGATTATGTTGGTTTGTCTGCCTCTTGGGCCCCTCGCCCGGGCCCTGGACCTTAACACAACTGCTCCGGGCGACAAAAATCGGCCCCTCTTTGGGAGGGGAGGAGGAGGAGGAGGAGGAGGAGGAGGAGGAGGAGGAGGAGGAGGAGGAGGAGAGGAAGAGGCCTCCTGGGTGTCCACGTGGTGCTTGGCATGACGACGTCGGGGGTCTCCGGCAGCAAGTCGCAGGAGCTTGGTATGCCCCCCGGAATTCCGGCTCTCGCGTCGACTCGCGTCGATTAGCGTCTGCGTGTCGATGAGATGGCGCCGATGTATCGTCGATTCAGCGTCGATTAGCGCCGATTTAGCGTGGCGGATGCATTTGAAGCGAGGCTCCTCTTTCACTTCCTGCCTCCACGCGCGCCGCCTCGCCGACGAAGACATGCCCTCGATGACCTCTCGAACTCCTGACCGCTCTCCAGGAGGAGGAGGAGGAGGAGGAGGAGGAGGAGGAGGAGGAGGAGGAAAAGGAGGGGGAGGAGGGGGAGGAGGGGGAGGAGGGGAGGAGGAGGGGGAGGAGGGGAGGAGGAGGAGGAGGAGGAGGAGGAGGAGGAGGAGGAGGAGGAGGAGGAGGAGGAAGAGGAAAAGCAGGAGGAGGAGGAGGAGGAGCAGGAGGAGGAGGTGAGGAGGAGAGGAGGAGAGGAGGAGGAGGAGGAGGGGGAGGAGGAGGAGGAGAGGGTCGCCCCGCGCGGCCGCTCCGAACCTTGGAAAGAGCGCGTTCTACCGCTGCTGGCGGAAAACCGGGGGGGGCACTGGGGGTTCCTAGCCCGTCCCCCCCCCCCTCGAAAACCGAGGGGGTGTCACTACCGGTGCGACCCCCCCCTCCCCCTCCTCCCCCAGTCCATCATGAAAAGGGGGGGGTCACTACCGGTTCGACCCCGCCCCCCCCACCTCGAAAACCGGGGGGTCACTACCGGTTCGAACCCCCCCCCCCTTCGAAAACCGGGGGCGGGTCACTAACGGTTCGAACCCCCCCCCTCTTCGAAAACCGAGGGGGGGTCAATACCGGTTCGAACCCCCCCCCCTTCGCCGCCGGCAAACGAAACGATGCCCGCTGCTCGGGACAGTTGGAAAATGGTGGGGATGTTGGGGCAGTGGTGGGAACGGTGGTGGTGGCGACAGTGGTGCGGGGACAGTGGGACAGTGGTGCGGACAGTGGTGGGGACGGTGGTGGTGGGGACAGTGGTGAGGGGACAGCGGGACAGTTGGGACGGTAGTGGTGGGGACAGTGGTGAAGGCGGTGGTGAGGACAGTGGTGGGACAGTAGTACAGTGGGGAGAGAGATGGGGACAGTGGGGACAGTGGGACAGTGATGGGGACAGTGGGGATGGTGGGACAGCACAGAGGGACAGCGGCGGGGACAGTGGGACAGTGGTGGGAACAGTGGGGGCACTGGGACAGTGGTGGGGACCGTGGGGAAAGTGGTGGGACAATGGTGGTGAGACTGGGGACAGTGAGACGCTGGTGGGGGCACTGGTGGGGACAGCGGGGACAATGGTGGGAACAGTGGGGATAGTGGGACAGTGGTGGGGACAGTGGTGGTGGGGACAGTGGTGTGGGGGCAGTGGGAACGTGGCGGAAACAGTGGGACAGTGGAGGGTACAGTGGTGGTGGCCACAGTGGTGAGGGCGGTGGCGAGGACGGCGGTGGGATAATGGGACAGAGGTACAGTAGGGACAGTGGTGGGGACAGTGGGACAGTGGTGGGAACACTGGGACAGCTCAGTGGGACAGCGGCGGGGACAGTGGGACAGTGGGGACAGTGGGACAGTGGTTGGGGCCGTGGAGAAAGCGGGGAGAGTGGAACCGTGGTGGCAACAGTGGTGGGGACAGTGGGGACAGTGCGACAATGGTGGGGGCACTGGTGAGGACAGTGGTGACGGTGGTGGGAACAGTGGGGACAGTGGTGGTGAGGACAGTGGTGCTGGGGACAGCAGTGGGGGATGTGGTGCGGACGGTGGTAGGGGCCCGGAGTTGTGTGCTGGCGGTGAGCGTGGGTGGTGGGGGGGAGGGTGGGGGGGGGAAGGGTTCGAACCGGTAGTGACCCCCCCCTCCCCGGTTTTCGAAGGGGGGGGGTCGAACCGGTATTGACCCCTCCCGGTTTTCGAGAGGGGGCGGGGGGGGTTCGAACCGGTAGTGACCCCCCCCAGTTTTCGAGAGGGGGGCGGGGGGGTTCGAACCGGTAGTGACCCCTCTTTGGTTTTCTGGGGGGGGGGGAGGGGTTTGATCCGGTAGTGACCCCCCCTTGGTTTTCCAGGGTGGGGAGGGGGGGGTTCGAACCGCTAGTGGCCCCCCCCGGTTTGCCGGAGGGGGGGGGGGTAGGGGTAGGGGGTGGTTGCCGGGGGAAGGGAGGGGGGGTCCAGCATGCCCGATCGGATGGATGCACGCCCCGGGCCAGAGG